ATAGCTAGCTATATATATATATATAGCTAGAAAGTGGTCAAATTTTACTAATCTATATGCCCTGGAAGGTTGTAATATGCATTATGAGATATTCTGCAAACTTGTGATGCTGTAGCAAGAATGGCAATTTTTGGGCATAAAAATCCCTATTGTATCCCTTTTACAAAAAGTGAATAATTCTTTATCTTACATACTGTAAATTACTCCCTTTAAAGACGTTGTGTAGAAACCTCGTTTTGTGCTTTCTTGATACTAAAAATTTGGTTTACGGAAAAACGGCTGTCCGGCCGTCCGACTGTTTGCTTATATAATAGTGTAGGTTCTATTTATGTTGAATTCACTGAAGTTTACAAAATTTCAGAATATATTTGTGTCTCTTACTACGCCTACAATATTGAAGATAATTTTTTTAAATCAAATATGTACTTCAAAATTGGATCTTAAAATGAAATCATGCACAAGTTTTTCAAAATGTCTATAGTTTTCGCGAAATATTACGTAAAATAAAAGCAACTTTAAAAACAATAATTTTTCAAAATACATCTCCAAAAGCCGTTTTAGACCGTGTTACACGGTACAGTTTTTGTGTTGTTTGGACAAACAGAAAGCGTGCAGTCCATGTACAGTGGCGGATTGGAATTTTCTGTGGCTTTATTATACTGCCTCTTGCAAATGTGAGGTTACTAAATCTCACGTCTGTAGCCAAGACTTCCTCCAATCGAAGCGTTTTTTCGCGAACCCGCTAAAGCCTCCGCAACCCCAACCATGCTTGAAGCGACAACGATGACGGACTTAGTATTTTTCCTCCCCGCGTTTCACTAATACTTTAAAAAGTATTAATAAAGTACCTCGTAACGCGCGTACACAAATGTCCCGAATGTCCTTTCCCGTATTCCGACGGCGCATTTCGGCAATTCGTTTGTGTGCCGGGAGAGCTTCTGTCTGCGCCTCAGTTTCTGTACGAGTTTTAAATTTTCTCCTCGGGTAGAACAAAGGACACTGAAAAATTACGCAGGTCTCATTTTTGCTGAATTTTTCCTTACAGCGATAAAGCTTGTGTTTATATATATCTGTACAAATCATACTTAATAAATACGGAACGTATTTTAAACTCTGCCCATCTTCTTGCCATCATCCACATAAAAAACTAAAAAAAATAATAAACTATAATATATAAACTATTATATATATATAAAATAAAATATTTAAAAAATATATTAAATATTTACCTCCAACACTATATAATATATAATTAATAATCTATAATATTAATATAAACAAATTAAAAATAAATATATAAATATAACCAATCTGATTAACATCAACTTATAATATTCATAACTACTGCAATATAACTAAACTTAAGCTGATAATAAAATCAAATATATAAACACCCTTATCCAGGAAACAAAACTCAGGCAATCGAGACCTGGAACAATTATTCCCCCCCAAGTCCCTAGACCACACGGAGACAAACTCTTACACCCCATACATTACCAAGAGGCTGAGCGCAGCAGAGGCTCTGCGCTAACCAAACGATACGCGAAATGCGCCTCAACCGGACAATTCAGAAACATTATGTGTACGCATCCTTACAAAAGGACTTTTAACACTCTTTAACCGGATAGGAACCGCCGGGCGAGTTAAAAAGTA